AAAAAAAAAAAACTGGTCTACTTTTAATTTTTGTTCAACATATTACATACTGATTCATACTTTTAAAATAATCCCTTTATGTTTAAGATTATATATAATCATTGTATGCACAATTACGAGGCAGAATCATTAGGCTATTATTGTAAGGCTTTTAAGAACCGAACTTGGTAGCACATTGTAATGCCTTAAGGTTTAAATATAAGCAAACACAGATTATTTGTTTTGCAGGAAAGCAACCAATGCAGGTCCGTTGGATAAGATTCTTCATGGAAGTGTTGGCTATCTCAGTCCAAGAAGTGGGGGTATGTGATCCTATTTAGAAAAATGTCTAATTTTAGTTAATCAGTTATTTCATAAATTTTCATCTTTGTTTATAAGCAGAGGGGGAAAATTACCAGTCATTTGTGTATTTTTAAATGACTTCTAAGGTATCAATATGTACCCTCCCCTAGTTTTTTTTTTTTTTTCCCCTAGTTTTTAATTGTATGTAATAAATTGTTGCCACCAAACTCAGTACTTAGGTTTCTGTGCTATTTCACAAACTGTTTGGCATATGAGTCTTCTGTTTGGGACACTATTTTCTTATACTTATTTATAGAAACTGAAATACTTGAAATTGTAATTTACCTGATAAAGTTGATGAATTTTGTTTCTCGTAGGTCATTTAATGAATTTAAAGTACTATGCCTCTCCTTCTGACCTGCTGGATGATAAAACTACATCTCCCATAATTTTACATGAGAATAATGGTAAGGTTTTATTTTAAAGATTTGTTTATTTATGCTTGCAGAACTGGGGTATAGGCCAGAGGTGCAGGGGCAGTGAGAGGATCCACTGGAGACAGAGAAAAGAACAGGCAGATTGACAAAGTATATTGCTGAGGGGAGCAGTGGGTTAATCAAGAGAGGTCTGCCACACCATGTGGGTCAGCTTCCTGGCCTGGGATCAAATTCGTGCTGCAATGGCTTCAAAGAACTTCATAATGAAGTGCTTTAACTCTTTGCACCACCAGGAAGGGCCCTAATGGTAAGATTTTTAATTGCAAAGCAACTGAAGGTTTTGTCCAGTGTTTAAAAAAGTAGTTTAAAAAGAGGAACCTCTTTGGTGGCACAAGGGGTTCAGTCTCAGAACTATGAAGCTATTGGCAGCCACTGCAGCACCAATTTGATCCCCCACCAGGGAGCTGACACACATGGCACAGCAGACCTCTCAAGTATTATCCACTGCTCCTTTTCAGCAGTGTATTTCAGTCAGTCTGCCTTTTCTGCTCCCTACTCTGTTTCTTACTCACTGCCCCCCACTTCTGGCCTGTACTCCAGCTCTTATATGCATGAATAAATAAACTAAATCTTAAAAAAACTGTTTAAAAAAACTTGAGTGCCTAGATTATATGTACTTTTACTTTGCTATTCCCTATTAACATTGCTATCCCTACCAAATATTGCCATCCATTCATACCAAAGTTTGCACCTGATATAGAATACATGTCCACTCATACATCATAAATGCATGTATGTATAAAAATGTAATAAGTGCTATTGAGTAAGTAAATTAATGAAAAGATAAAAATATCTGACTTGGAATAGTCCAGTTTTGCCATTACTTTTCCCCCCAAAAGATTATTAATTATCTTTTATTAAAGAACTGGGGTGTAGGGCAGAGATTGGGGTGTGTGTGAGAGAATTCGCCAGAGACAGTAGGGAGCAGAACAGGAAGATCTACTGAAATACACTGCCAAGGGGACCATCAGACAAAACAGGATAGGCACATTTTGTACCGTGTGGGTCAGCTTCCTGGCTGGGGATCAAACTCAGTCGTCGCAATGGGCCTTCCTGGTGATAGTGCTAAGGCTTAACCCTTAGGCCACCAGGAGGCCCTTTAAAAATGAAGACTAGCCAGCTTTCTAAGGAAATGTTAGAATAGATGTTATTTTTTATTTGCAGTTTAATGTGCTAAAAAGTAATGATAAATGGCTTAGTTCTTTATTTGGTCCCCGTCAACCATTGACTATCCTATAACCATAATCCTATTTATTTATTTAAAAAGATTTATTTATTCATACAGAACTGGGGTTCAGGCCAGAGGTGCAGAGGTGGTGAGAGGATTCACCACAGACAGAATGGGGAGCAGAGTAGGCAGATTGATGAAGTACTCTGCTGAGGGGAACAGTGGGCCAGACAGGAGAGATCTGCTATGCCATGTAGATCACTTCCCGGATGGGGATCGAACTCCCACCGACACAGCTTCAGCCAGCTTGCAGTGTGGTGTCCTAACCTATTGTGCGACCAGGGAGGGACCAATCAAAATCCTATTTAAATCCATTCTGAAATTCAAGAAAATAAGTAAATTTCTGTAATGAGTCTTTAAATTTTTATCCTTGAATGCATTGTTTCTTGAAGTTTGTCTGGTTTACCTACAAAAAGATAATGCTGATTGGGTAGAAAGGTAGCATCTAATGTTTCAAAGTATATAGAAATAAACAGTATCTGAAAATGACAGCAGGCATATTTATTATGCATGTTTGCCTTATTTTTAATGTTAAGATCTTTATAATTTCTGTGATTTTGGAGATATCCTTTTACTTTTATGTTCCCAGTTCCTCGATCTTTGGGCATGAATGCATCCGTGACAATCGAAGGAACATCTGCTATGTATAAACTCCCAATTGCTCCATTAATTATGGGGTCACATCCAGTTGACAACAAATGGTAAGTCAAATATAATTCTAGTGTAGCAAAGTCCATTTTTTCAACGTCAAACCCAGTATGAAAGAAAAATTACTTGACTCTTTCCCTACCCCTGACTTCCTAGAAATTTCTCATCTTACTACCTGTTTGCATTTCCTCTCTGAGCCTGCTAATAGAACAAATTCTCCTTCCCTAGAGAGAAAGAGAAGAGCTAATTCTCTGATTTAGTGATTGCTACCTTTTCCTTATGGGACTTACATTGATTGGGAATATATTAATCACTAGAGGACATGATGCAGGATAAATGTTTGATTAAGTACTTTAAGAGTTAAGAAATATAGTGCTTTCTCATTGGCGAAGTGCAAAGGGTGAACTTTTGATAGAGTTTGTGTGTATTTATTTTATGGAGACATGTCAGAATGGGTGTTTAGATATTTCATTTTCTTATCAATGAAAATTCCAAGTCTACCTTTTTTTTATTTGAAGGACCCCCTCCTTCTCCTCAATCACCAGTGCCAACAGTGTTGATCTTCCTGCCTGTTTCTTCTTGAAATTTCCCCAGCCAATTCCAGTATCTAAAGCATTTGTCCAGAAACTTCAGAACTGTACAGGTGAGTTTTAAGCTTTAGAAGATCCGGATTATCATAGATTCTTTTAGTTGTTGTAGGCATCAAACATGTTCATGGGTATAGATGTCAAATCGTGCTTTGACTAGCAAATGTTTTTATAAGTACATTTTAAACATATGGAAAAGTGAAGTAGAAGTCATGAAGGAAAAACTGAGCTCTTAGCATATTTAATTTTTTTATGACCATTACATTTATCCTTGTTTTTTTAGGAATTCCATTGTTTGAAACTCAACCAACTTATGTACCCCTGTATGAACTGATCACTCAGTTTGAGCTGTCAAAGGACCCTGACCCCATTCCTTTGAATCACAACATGCGATTTTATGCTGTAAGTAAGGCACTATGGATTGTTGTAGATTGTTTGGACCCAAGGTCAGACTCTTCCTTTATAGGATTTCTGAAGTCAAATAACTTTCTTTTGGATTACTGGATATATATTTTTTCAATCTGGCAGGAATGTACAGAAATTTCTAAAACATTCTGAGGAACGATTGTATGTGTTTCCAAGTCAGAAGTAACAGTGTACATTCAATTTTTGAAATTCCAGATGAAAATATCTTAATTTCATTTGAACTTTTACAATCGTATTAGTAGGTGTAGAGAATTCTTAATTAATCCTTTAAATAGCATGAATTTATAATAGGAAAATGTCCTTAGGTACATACAGAGCAGTAAGTACTGAAATACACAACTTAAGGCAAGTTCCAAAACTTCATTAGACTTGAATTTATTTGTATCTGTGATAATAGCCTAGAATAAAGAATATTTCTCAATATAATTATATAGAGTATTTTATTTCAGTATGCAGATTTTGCACTTAGGGTTCAAGAACCACTTTTGTGATTCTTGAGATTCCTCAGTGAATATTAATGTTAAGAAATTACTAGCAGAACTTTTACTAAACATTTTTAGCTAAGCAAGTAATTGATATTTTTAACATCAACTGAAAGAGTTTCTTGTGGAGTTTTATATTCACTAAGAAACTTGCTGATTTTTGAGGATTAGGTTTTACTCTGTTTTGATTTCAGGATAGTTTGTGGTTGGAGTATATTGGGTAAATTAATAGTATTCAGTGCTTTGTTCTTTTTTGCTCAGGCTCTTCCAGGTCAACAGCACTGCTACTTCCTCAACAAGGATGCTCCTCTGCCAGATGGTAGAAGTCTCCAGGGAACCCTTGTTAGCAAAATTACTTTTCAGCATCCTGGTCGGGTTCCTCTTATCCTAAATCTCATCAGACACCAAGTGGCCTATAACACCCTAATTGGAAGCTGTGTGAAAAGAACTATTCTGAAAGAAGGTACTGCCTTTCCTTTTGATGTATTTACTGGTCGAATGAACTTACTATTGTAATGGTTCTCTAGTTTAGGGGTACAGGCCAGAGGTGCAGGATTCACCAGAGAGAATTCACCAGAGACAGTGGAAAGCAGAACAGGCAGATGTACTGAAATACACTGCTGAGAAGAACAGTAGGCGAGGCAGGAGAGGTCTGCCAGGCTCTGTGGGTCACCTCCCTGGTCGGGGATTAAACTCGTGCTGCAGTAGCTGCAGATAACTTGATAGTGCTGTGCTTTAACCCCTTGTGCCACCAGGGAAGGTCCCTGGATTGTTTTCAAACATAGTTTGCTGTTAGAAGTGCTCATGGAAAATTTGGCTGTTCTAGTTAATTGTAGTTAACTTTTTTACTTAAAAAAGTACTTCAGGGCCCTCTCTGGTGGTGCAGCAGGTTAAAGCACAGCACTAAGAGGCTAAAACCACTGCAACATGAGTTTGATCCCTGCCCAGAGGTGACCCACATGGCGCAGCAGACCTCTCTTGACCTGCCCACTGCTCCCCTCAATGGTGTGCTTCGTCAGTCTGCCTGTTCTGCTCCCCACTCTGTCTCTGGTGAATCCTCTCACCGCTCCTGCACCTCTGGCCTGTACCCCTGTACCCAGTATGCATAATTAAATCTTTAGGAAAAGAACTTCAGTGAGAGAAATATATTATTTTTACTGGTAGGCAAGAAGAAATAAGAAGTTATATAAGGAGACATCTTTATGGAAATAAGAATTGCTTTAGAAATGAGAAATTTTAGAGAGCTGGAGTGATGACAGCATAGGCACTTGTGCTTCTGGCCCTTATCGTTCATCTGCTTGAATCCTAGAATATTCCAGTGAATTTTTATAAGATAGTTGGGAAGTTATTGCTACAGTGATACATGCTTTCTCCAGATAGATTATGTGACCCTTTGTCTGAGTTGCCAGCATGTTTGTCTCAGGGACACATGATTTCTGGCAAACATAGTTGTAGCCTCTATGTCCCTGCACCAAACTATGGGCTATATAGCTAAAAGCTGCAGACACTGACAGAAAAGTTTAAGGCAGTGGATGTTTGCTTCTCAGATAGAATGAGAAACTCTCCTTGGCCACATTGTTTTTTGAGTTCATTTTTAAGTTCTGTCTGCTAAGATCTTTAACCATTTAAGGATTTAAATGATTTTGAATCAGAAAATTGAAGTTTAGTTAGTTCTTGGTTTTAGAGTATAAACTGGCAGATTCCTTAGAATCTCATTCCTTTAGTCACTTGTGGAGGACAGTAGGCTTTGCATGTTAAAAGAAAAATTGAGGGATTTAGTGTCTAAAGAATGAGAGAAATAATTTCATTCTTTGTTACTACTTGTCTCAGGTCACATTTGGTTGATTAACTTATACTCCTTTTCTTTGCCTTTTAGATTCTCCTGGACTCCTCCAATTTGAAGTATGTCCCCTCTCAGAATCCCGTTTCAGTGTATCTTTTCAGCACCCTGTGAATGACTCCCTGGTGTGTGGTGAGTTGTATGGGTGGCTAGCACCTCAGAGGCTAGCAGTTTCATCCTTTTATCTTTTTGAAAGCTTAGAAGCTGACTCTAACCCTGCTCAAATACCTCCTATGTATTTTGTCTTTCAGTGGTAATGGATGTGCAGGACTCAACACATGTGAGCTGTAAACTCTACAAAGGGCTTTCAGATGCACTAATCTGCACAGATGACTTCATTGCCAAAGTTGTTCAAAGGTAGCACTGACCCTTTCCGTCAGAGTCATATTAAGAGGTGTATAAAGAATGTTGTTTTCAGTATTATTGTGAATTGAAAATTTAAGCAAAAACATAAAGTCACTGCTTTGATTTATCCTTTTTTGTTTTTGGATTCAAAAGTGATAAGAGCTTTGGATTTTTAAATATCATTATGAGAGAAACAGGAAATGCGGTAGGTAACTTCAGATCCAGTATTAGGATTCTTACATGAGGGAGGGAGGAAGAGTTCAGACATAGCTTTTTTTCTACTTATACACCATATCCATTTTTTTTTTTTTAAATATTTACTTCTTTGTACATACATGAACTGGGGTGCAGGCCAGAGGTGTGGGTGGTGAGAGGGTTCACCAGAGACAGAGTGGGGAGCAGAACAGGCAGACTGAGGAGGTATACTACTGACAGGAGCAGTGGGAGGGACAGTTGTGCCATGTAGTTCACTTCCCTGGCTGGGGAATCAAACTTGAGCTGAAGTGGCTGTGGCTAGCTTCGTAGTACTGTGCCTTAAACCATTGTGCCACCAGGAAGAGGGACCTCTTTTTCTTTTTTTTTTAATAATAGTGTAGTTTTACATTATATTGCGCTTTTTTCCATCTCAGTTATAATCCCTGTGGGCTTCCCATCCCCAAATCACCCATGTGCCATCACCATAGTCTAGTGCACTTCCCTCCCCGCACCCTTTCCCATTCCACCCCCATAAATGTCTCTGGTAGATAGTTGGTCATTATTATTATTTTCTCCCCTGGTCCTTTATACTCCTCCTTTATACAAGGAGGGTCCTCTTATCATTTATTAATTAGGAAAATTTATAACCCATTAATCATGTGAAGCTTGAAAAAAGGGACATTTTCTTACTGAGTTCATAGTCACTAATTTTCTTTTAGTTAAATACATCTGATTATTTGGACATGTCTGTGGTGGTTTGTTTTTGGTGATACCTCAAAGAGGTTGAAGATTGCTTACTGGTTCATATTCTTTTTAGAATGAATCAAAGATCTGACATTTCATAGACCAGCCACTCCTGCCTTTTTGGTTACTTCCCTTACTTGAAAACTTCTTACTACAGGGCCCTCCCTGGTGGCGCAACAAGTTAGAGCGCAGCACTATAAAGCTGTCTCAGCCATTGCAGCACAAGTTTGATACCCGGCCAGGGGGATGACCCACATGGCACAGCAGAACTCTCCAGCCTCACCCACTGCTCCCCTCAGCAGTGTACTTCATCGACCTGCCTGTTCTGTTCCCTGCTCTGTCTCTGGTGAATCCTCTCACCTCCCACACCTCTGGACTGTACCCCAGTTTTGTATGTATAGATAGATAAATCTTTAAGAGAAAAAACAACTGCTTACTACAAACCTCTGATGGCGTATCTGAGTGTGGTAAAACTAAAGCCTATTTTTCTCATTGGAAAGGTTGGTTTTTTTCTAGTAGTGAGTGCAATTTTGTTTTTTCCATCTTATCTTATAGATGTATGTCCATCCCTGTGACGATGAGGGCTATTCGGAGGAAAGCTGAAACCATTCAGGCCGACACCCCAGCACTGTCCCTCATTGCAGAGACAGTTGAAGACATGGTGAAAAAGAACCTGCCCCCGGCTAGCAGCCCAGGGTATGGCATGACCACAGGCAACAACCCAATGAGTGGTACCACTACACCAACCAACACCTTTCCGGGGGGTCCCATTACCACCTTGTTTAATATGAGCATGAGCATCAAAGATCGGCATGAGTCGGTGGGCCATGGGGAGGACTTCAGCAAGGTGTCTCAGAACCCAATTCTTACCAGTTTGTTGCAAATCACAGGGAACGGGGGGTCTACCATTGGCTCGAGTCCGACCCCTCCTCATCACACGCCGCCACCTGTCTCTTCGATGGCCGGCAACACCAAGAACCACCCGATGCTCATGAACCTTCTTAAAGATAATCCTGCCCAGGATTTCTCAACCCTTTATGGAAGCAGCCCTTTAGAAAGGCAGAACTCTTCTTCCGGCTCACCCCGGATGGAAATGTGTTCAGGAAGCAACAAGACAAAGAAGAAGAAGTCTTCAAGATTGCCACCTGAAAAACCCAAGCACCAAACTGAAGATGATTTTCAGAGGGAGTTATTTTCAATGGATGTTGATTCACAGAACCCTATCTTTGATGTCAACATGACAGCTGACACTCTGGACACACCACATATCACTCCAGCTCCAAGCCAGTGTAGCACTCCCCCAACAACTTATCCACAACCAGTACCTCATCCCCAACCCAGTATTCAAAGGATGGTCCGACTATCCAGTTCAGACAGCATTGGCCCAGATGTAACTGATATTCTTTCAGACATTGCAGAAGAAGCCTCTAAGCTTCCTAGCACTAGTGACGATTGCCCACCCATTGGCACCCCTGTTCGAGATTCTTCAAGCTCTGGGCATTCTCAGAGTGCCCTCTTTGATCCAGATGTTTTTCAGACCAATAATAATGAAAATCCATACACGGATCCAGCTGACCTTATTGCAGATGCTGCGGGAAGCCCCAGTAGTGACTCTCCTACCAACCACTTTTTTCCTGACGGAGTAGACTTCAATCCAGATTTGTTGAACAGCCATAGCCAAAGTGGTTTTGGAGAAGAATATTTTGATGAAAGCAGCCAAAGTGGAGATAATGATGACTTCAAAGGGTTTGCATCTCAGGCACTGAATACTTTGGGCGTGCCAATGCTTGGAACTGACAATGGGGAGACTAAGTTTAAAAGCAATAGCCAAGCTGACACCGTTGATTTCAGTATTATAACAGTGGCTGGTAAGGCTTTGGGTCCTACAGATCTTATGGAGCATCACAGTGGTAGCCAGAGTCCTTTACTGACCAGTGGTGACTTAGGGAAAGAAAAGACTCAAAAGAGACTAAAGGAAGGCAACGGCACCAGTAATAGTAGTCTTTCAGGACCAGGATTAGATACCAAACCAGGGAAGCGTAGTCGTACCCCTTCTAATGATGGCAAAAGCAAAGATAAGCCTCCAAAGCGGAAGAAGGCAGACACTGAGGGAAAGTCACCATCTCACAGTTCTTCTAACCGACCTTTCACCCCCCCTACCAGTACAGGTGGATCCAAATCTCCAGGCAGTTCAGGAAGATCTCAGACTCCCCCAGGTGTTGCCACACCACCCATTCCCAAAATCACAATTCAGATTCCTAAGGGAACTGTGATGGTGGGTAAGCCCTCCTCTCACAGTCAGTATACGAGCAGTGGCTCTGTGTCTTCCTCAGGCAGTAAAAGCCACCACAGTCATTCTTCCTCCTCCTCTTCCTCATCATCTGCTTCCAACTCAGGCAAGATGAAAAGCAGTAAATCAGAAGGTTCATCAAGTTCCAAGTTAAGTAGCAGTATATATTCTAGTCAAGGGTCTTCTGGATCTAGCCAGTCCAAAAATTCATCTCAGTCTGGGGGAAAGCCAGGTTCCTCTCCTATCACCAAGCATGGACTGAGCAGTGGCTCCAGCAGCACCAAGATGAAACCTCAAGGAAAGCCATCATCGCTTATGAATCCTTCTTTAAGTAAACCAAACATATCCCCTTCTCACTCAAGACCACCTGGAGGCTCTGAAAAGCTTGCTTCTCCAATGAAGCCAGTTCCTGGGACTCCCCCATCTTCTAAAGCCAAGTCCCCTATCAGTTCAGGTTCTGGTGGTTCTCATTTGTCTGGAACTAGTTCAAGTGTTGGCATGAAGTCATCTTCAGGGTTAGGATCATCAGGCTCACTGTCTCAGAAAACTCCCCCATCATCTAATTCTTGTACAGCATCTTCATCTTCTTTCTCAAGTGGCTCTTCCATGTCATCCTCACAGAATCAGCATGGGAGTTCCAAAGGGAAATCTCCCAGCAGAAATAAGAAGCCGTCCTTAACAGCAGTCATAGATAAATTGAAGCATGGGGTTGTAACCAGTGGTCCCGGGGGTGAAGATCCAATGGACGGTCAGATGGGGGTGAGCACAAATTCTTCTAGTCATCCTATGTCCTCCAAACATAACTTGTCAGGAGGAGAGTTCCAGGGCAAGCGTGAGAAAAGTGATAAAGACAAATCAAAAGTTCCCACCTCAGGAGGCTCAATGGATTCATCAAAGAAGACCTCAGAGTCAAAAAATGTAGGGAGCACGGGTGTGGCAAAAATTATCATCAGCAAGCATGATGGGGGATCCCCCAGCATTAAAGCCAAAGTGACTTTGCAGAAACCTGGGGAAAGTAGTGGAGAAGGGCTCAGGCCTCAGATGGCCTCTTCCAAAAACTATGGCTCTCCACTCATCAGTGGTTCCACTCCAAAGCATGAGCGTGGCTCTCCCAGCCACAGTAAGTCACCAGCATATACCCCCCAGAATCTGGACAGTGAAAGTGAGTCAGGCTCCTCCATTGCAGAAAAATCTTACCAGAACAGTCCCAGCTCAGATGATGGCATCCGACCACTTCCAGAATACAGCACAGAGAAGCATAAGAAGCACAAAAAGGAAAAGAAAAAAGTAAAAGACAAAGATAGGGACAGGGACCGGGAAAAAGACCGAGACAAGAAAAAATCTCACAGCATCAAGCCAGAGAGTTGGTCTAAATCACCTATTTCTTCAGACCAGTCCTTGTCTATGACAAGTAACACAATCTTATCTACAGACAGGCCCTCAAGGCTCAGCCCTGACTTTATGATTGGAGAGGAAGATGATGATCTCATGGATGTGGCCCTGATTGGCAATTAGACAGACAAAAAATAATTTTATAGTCAAATCAAGGGGTGGATCAAGCAGGTCTGATTTTGTGTTTAATAATCTTAAAATGGTATGGTTTTGACACCAGGCTGGGTGAAATTAGAAAGGCATAGCCAGACCCTACTAAAGAGACCACAGGGTTTGTTTCTGATTACCAAGAATTGTTTCTTTGCCAGAAAAATGTTAAAATACTTGCTTATGAAAGGGAGGGGGTGGGAGGGGCCTAGGGAGAAGGAAGGGTGGGGCGCAGTTTTGTGGGAAATATTCATATATATTTTTTCTCCCTTTTTCCATTTTTAGGCCATGTCTTAAACTCATTTTAGTGCATGTATTTGAAGGGCTGGGCAGGAAATGAAAAAGCAATACATTCCTTGATGCATTTGCATGAAGGTGGCTCACCTTTGTTTGGGTAGTTGTCCATTTGAGGCATGGGCAAATGAAGGACTTTGATCATTTTGGACACAAGTAATGTTTGGTGTCTGTTTCTTAGGAGTGATTGGGGGAGGAAAGATAATTTTAGCTATTTATTTATAATATTTTAACCCTTTATCTGTTTGTTTTTATACAGTGTTTCTAATTCTGTGAGGTTCAGGGTTCAAAATGATCGGTGGTGGGAGAGCAAGGCTTATTTGGTGGTAGGGAGCTTGTAGCTTGTGCTGATAATGTAGCATCAAGCCCAAGCAAATCAAGTCAGCCCACCTTTAGGAATTAATTAGAAAAACCCAAATGGTATTTTTGTTGAATGGAAGTTTTTCATAGGGTTCACGCATCATAGGAATATAATGAAACACCTCCCAGTGGAGGTACTGACTTAAAATCTCTTTTTTCTTAGGGAAAAAAGGCTGGGCTGACTTTCTGGGATATAAACATGTTTTCAGATGCAGTAAGATTTATTGTGGGACAGTCTCTCTGACTTGGTGGCATGCAAACCATTACAGAATTACTAGTTCTCCTATTTCCACAATGTGCCAAAAGTCCACATCCCAGCATTTTGTTTGTAGGAGAACTGAGGCCATTCCTGAGAGTTGGGCTCTTTGTTTCTCTTCATCATAAAGAGAAGGAGTCCAGACTTTAATCACTCCATTGTATGTTCCTTTAGATAAAAGGTAAACAAATTGCAGCCATAGTTCACTTAAAATAATTTCAAGCTCACTTGAAGCAATGGGGGCCTGGAATGCTAGGTGGGCATGAAGATAACCCTTGCTACTATGTAGCAATACAATTGGACCTTTTTGAGGAATAGGTCTGAGTCTGGATTTGGGGGACATCATAAGAAGCCCTTTTCCATAAATAGTAGAAATCCAGGAGACCATATGAGTGCAACACAAGTTCTCAGTATTTGGAGGGTCCTCTCAAAATTCTGCGGCCTTACTTTGATTTTGACACCTGCACTGTGCCATTCCTGATGATTCCATTCAGGATCTGTATCAGCAGGATGGGGCAGGGTCCCCAGCACAACTCTTCTGGATTTAAAAAAAAAAAAAAAAAGCCAGGTGATTCATTTGTGTGTGTGTCATAGAGTGACTTCATCAGATATTGAAGATTTCTACGGTCAGCTCTTTTTGCAGGTTGGAGTTAGTTTAGAGTGGGAAAATCAGCTTTGGCTTTCTTTCCTGACTGTCTCTGATTTCCTCTAGTGTTCTTTTCTGGTCATCAGTTCTCAACAACTCTGCCACTTTTGTGTCCCAAGGTAATAAGAAGTAGGAAACGAAACATTGCAAAGTGGAGCAAGAAAAGTTATCGGTTACCGTATCAGAGTCAAATGTCTTGGGTGACACTAAGGAGGACATGGGCAAGGTGATACCAGAGTGCTTTATCTTGTGATGCTGATACAGTAGCAGCCTCAGACATACAACCAGGTTGGATTTCTCACAAGTTTCTCACCTAGTTTTGAATCCTATCCCATTGGTTTCTGAAGAAAAATAAAGTTAACATGGTTTTGAAGTTTGTTCTGGGTGGGGAAGATCTTATGGGGTATGTACTGCATAATGTCAGGGGCACAGCTCCCCCAAACAGAGCAAACAAATACCAAAATGAGTAAACTGGGAAGCTTTTTCTCTCTTTCTGTCTTCATCCCAGATCAAAGAATTCCGAGTTAGGATCTGGATGAAGGATAAGCCCCTGAATTGTCGATGGGCACACCCCACACACTGACCCAGCATCTGAACTTGCTTAACAGGGAGCCGGGGCTAAACTGCTTCACCCTGCCTGAGAACCAGGGAGCACTGCATTTCTCCACAGGGTGGAGGAGAAGAGGCAGAATAAACCAAGCCTGGGACACCTCCCTCCTGTCTAGGTGTACTCATTCTCCTGTTTCAAAAGACGGCAAGGACGTGAATTCAACTTCTACCTGTCTTCTGCTACTGGTGTCTTGTATTCTTAGTTTGATCTGATTCCTCATCTGTCTTTTGGCTTCATGTTAGGGGTTCTTGGTTAAAGCCTGCTCTGATGTACATGAAGATTTCAGATTCAGAATCCAGTGTGTTCAAAAACAAGTGTTGGGGGTGGGGGATGAAATAGACCATAATTGCCAAAACCAGGTTTGAGGTTGGTGACTCTTGGAAAAGTTTTCCTCTGAAAATTAAGTGTAGCAGTATCATGAATTGTCAGAAACCCATTTGAGGAGCCAGTGAGTCATACAGTGTCTAGTGAAGTCACTTAAAGCAGATGCCAGTATAATAAAACAGGTTATTCATATTCCCTGGGAAGTCCCATTTTCTTTTCCCCTTTTCTTTTCACTCTCCTTTCTCCCTTATTTCTACCCTTGAGTTAGTTTTTTTGAGGGGTAGGAAGTATTTAACATCTCAGAAACTAGGCTGGGAAACATGCTCAGCTATAAGAGCTGAGTCTAAATTTTGAGTTTTAAAAATGTACATCATGAGCAGTTGGGGAGGGTCTTTTCTAAAGTCTTTCAATTTTGATTTTCTGTGCATATGGCCGTTCTGTAAATACTTTGGGGTTTTTCATTTTTTTGAAAGTAGACAAAATCTGTGGGATTTTTTCCCAAAACATTACAAAAGAACCTGTTTATTTACATGCAAATAAATTTCTTTGATAACAAGCAATATGTCTATGTGTTGTACATTTATAGCCTTTCATAATTTTTTTTAAGATTTATTTATATATACAAGACCTGGGGGGTGAGAGGATTCATCGGAGACAGAGTCGTGGGCAGAACAGGCAGATCAACTAAAGCATGCTGCTAAGGGGAGCAACAGACAGGTCAGGAGAGGTCTGCTGCACCATGCAGGTCAGCTACCTGGTCTGGATCCAACACAGTGGCTGCAGATAGTTTCATAGTGCTGCCACGTATGAACCTGTAGAGCCACGAGGGAGGGCCTGATTCAGCTTTTGAAAAGTCCAGTCAATCAAAAAATAACCCAAAAGTAAATCCTCCCTGAGTATTACTTGAAATGCTTCAACTGGAATGAAAAAAAATGCAAATTTTCCTTCATTTGATTTCTCTACTCATAGCAATTTCGCAAATTTATCAGACCTTCCTGGAAGGAAACTGCTCTTAGATGAGACTGAATTAAGCTTTCTATGTGAAATGAAGTGATAATATTAAAAGTATCTGGAACAGGAGGCGAATGTAACACAAACCCAGGCTTGTAGGCCAGAAACATTTCTGATGTTAGGTTCCTTGCTTAGCAAATCCTTTAAAGGATAAAAACGAAGTTAGGGGCAAAAAAGACTGCTTTTACATTTGTGTCTCAAGTCGTCCAGTTTACACTCTTGCTTCAGAATACAATCAGGTCTGTCAGGACTACTGGCATTTATTTCACTTCTAATGGACAGAACTAGGAAGTTGCTCTTTTAAAGGTAAACTATAACATGATTGCTCTTTAATTCGCGGAAACTCGATCGTTAATCTTGGCACCTTGAGGGCTGGGGTGGTTTAACACAGCTGCCACCGAAAGCCTAGGAGTCAGAACGCCTGTATTGTCTAGGCTAGCGCCCCCGCCTACTCTCTTAGACACGCTTGTTTCTCCCGCCAAAGTGGCGTCAGGCGCAGGGTCTCACCAACCAGAGTCCTGATTGGAGGGCTGGCAGGCGCGGGCGCCCATTGGGCACCAGCAGCGGTCGGGCGGCGGAGGGGCGGGGAAGCCAAAGGCTCTTCAACCTCGCCCGCCCCCTCCACCACCAACGCGTGCCCCTCCCCCAGCCTAAGGAATGGTCGCCCCGTTCCAGTGCTGCACCCCCTGACCCCAAAGCGCAAGGGGCTGGCTCGCTGCATATCCTCGGAGCAGAAGGCAAATCCAGTCAGCCCCTGTGCTCCGAATCCATGCGCTGCAAGTCCCACGCCCTGCAGTGGCCCCCCAGGCCTCCTTGCAACACCCGGTAATGCAATCAACGGGGGCGGGGGAGGCGACGGCGGCGACAGCAACGACGGCGGCGGCAGCAGCAGCAGCAGCACTGCCTTGATCTAGAGATCACCCGAAAGAGGAGGAAAATGGCTCCGAGCAGGGACCGCCTGCTGCACTTTGGGTTCAAGGCGACAGTGAGTGATAGGGCTCGGGAGTTGGGTGGTCGGGAAGGACGCGTGTGTCAGCACAGGCTACGGGGGCAGGGAGGACGAGACTGAAAGCTCAAGTGTGGGGTGGGTTGGCGCGGGCTGCTAGCCCGAAGATAAGGGAAGAGGGGTGCCGGGCGGAAGAGGGGGTCCGGTGGTGTGTGCATTTGTCCTGCCTTCTCACTCGTCGGTCCGCGAGCACGCGCGCACTCGCGCCCGCCCCACAGCCCCTCCCATGCACGGATACGCACGGACACTTTGGCACTTTCCTGCCTCTGCTTCCCGCGGTGGCTGGCCTGCCTTGGAGGCGAGCACCCGCTCGTGCCAGCGCCGCCGCGCTCGAGCTGCTCCCGGCCGACCGCCGCGAGCTGCTCCCGGTGTGGGGGAGGGGTGGTCCCGCGCCGCCGCCGCCGCCGCCGCCGCCGCCGCCGCCGCGCTCCTCCTCCCCCTCCCCACGCCGTTCGGAGCCCGGGCGGCTCTGCCCAATGAGGAGCGGCGTTGCTGGCAGGTGGGGAGTGTTTTTGTTTTGGGTTGAAGTTGAGGCTGAGGAGAGAGAAGAGCTTGAGACGAGCAGTCGTCGCCGCCGCCGGCGCTGCGGGAGGTGGAGGAGGCCCCGCCGGGAGCCGAGAGGTCTCCCCTCCCCACGGACGGCCCCGGCCCGCCGCCTCCGAGCCGCCTCCGGGTCCCGGAACTCGCGGGCCTGGGCCCCCCGACTTTGCACTCCGCACGCCGCAGCGCCCGGCCCCGGCCGCACCCGCCGGCCCCATGAGGAGGGACGTGAACGGAGTGACCAAGAGCAGGTTTGAGGTGTGAGCTCGGGGTGGGGGGGGGCTGTTAGGGCGGCGTGAGGAAGGCGATTGTCGCTTTCGTGCCCCGAAAATTTCGCTCCGCACGGAGCCTCCTCCCTTGCCTGGCGCCGTCACCACCGGCCGCCGGTGCTGCCCGACTTCTTCCCCGGTTCTCGGGACCCGAAAGCCCAGTGCAGCCCGGTTTCCTTAGTCCTCCCGGCTGGCTGGTCGCCTCCTGCCTCATCCACCAGCGGGCCCCGGCAGGGGATTAGCTCTGGCGTCCTAATTCCCCCCTCCCCCCAGTATCTCTCAGCTTTCCGTTCTTTACGGAACCCTTGGCTTGGCGCTCCCCACCCGGCACAGAAAGCATCACAGCTCCCTTCGACTGGAGCTTGCTTCAGTTCTTTATGGCACCACCTTCGCGAAGCGTTTCAAGTCCGTCGAGGGAGAAATGGTGGGCCTGGGAGGGGGAAGGGAGCTTTTCTCTGACTTTGGGAGACCTCGGTTAAACTGGGGAAGTGTGGGGGTGGGGTGGGGTGGTAGAGTGGGGTGATAAAGACGACCTCGGGTTTTTGGTGCTGTGTTTGGTTGGGGTATTGTTCTGACACTTCCTCTTCTTTCTCGTTTAGTCTAAACTTTTGTGGCTCATTGTTTCTGGGAACTCTTAAGATGTCGACAGGCTTTGAAAATCCATTCCAGTCTGTCTCTAAGAACTTTTCCTTCCCTGTGAGAGAGGTTTATAGTCATGGAATTGAGAAATAGATGAGGAAATACGAAAGCATCCGAAAGCATCTTTAGAGAATAGTCATCGCGTTGGGAAGTGATTCCTTTGGGAAGTGACCACAGATGAGTTACAGCAACGTAGTGACATACAGGAAGGTTCATGGAAGAGATAAGTGAGAGAAACTTCTACAATAAGAGTATATGTTACCTGGCCTTTTCTGGCAGCGAATCAAGCTCACAGCTCAGTGTACAGTCTCATTTGTGTGTGTGTGTTTTTTCCCTCCCTCATTTCCATTTGAAGGATGAAATTGTAAGAAGGTGAGACAAAAGTTTTGAGAAACTTACCAAGGCCAGTGAGTGAAATTTTTACCTAAAGGCCTTCAGCTTAAGTCTCTAACTCGGTTTCTTTTTATTCATATGGGAGAAATATTTTACATTATCTACAAAGATCAACACAGGAAGCGTTTGAAGGAAGTTTAAACTCAGAGCTACAATATTACTGTTGCAGGCTAGAAGTGAAGAAAATTGGTCTCCAGAGAGTTTTCATGTTTAACTTAATGGTGGGAAGAAAGTGTTGTAGTAGATACTATTTGTTGTTTAACAGAACTTTACGTTCCCCTAATGTAGAGAGATCCAATAAGCTTAATTTATCTGGTTTGTGTTCAATACTACTGTAAAAGTCCAGAGTGTAATTAAAGTTACTGTACAAACATTTAACAGTTAACAGGAATCTCCAAAGGGAAGCTGACATTGAAGATGGAAAATAGCTTTTTGCCATTGCAATCAGCTGTTATTTTTGCTACTTAACTTTTAGACTGTGAGTAATTACTAGAAAGAATTTTTTGTACTTTTAAGTAGCATTGTTACTGCCTTTTAAAATGAATACCTATTTAATCCATAGCTTACAGTCGTGGTACTAAAATATTCAGAAAAACACTTTTGAAGCACATCTCTTTACTGCAATTGCACCGTAAATGTACCTAAGAAGGTTAAAAATGGGGAAAATCCATTCTTTTGTACAGTGTTCATGATTTAAGTGCTTATAAACTAAAAGTACTTTTCCATTATGTTATGAATTATTCCATGCCATAGTATAAATGAGAGGGGCTGGAAGTGATACGTGCTAATGAGTTTCATTATCTAAATAAGTCTTAAAATAGGGTACCTCTTTAGTAACCTAATTTACAAGTAGTAAAAAGCAATAAACTGTTTGGTCTCTTATGAATTAATAAGCTAATTCACTAAAGCTATTTTAGATAATGTACTTTCAGTGGATAAAAGGCTTAATATATAAGATATTTACTGAAAAGTAAATCAGATTACAGAATGCCTTTTTTTATAGGACTGATAATTTTATTATTGTAAGTAAGTAGCTGACCTCAGAAATTTTTTGAGAGCAATAAGTTTTTATAGCAGATGAGAACGAATTTAAACTAGTTATAGTTAGTATAAAAAGTGATTGTTTTTCTCTTGCCACGTTTTCATCTGGGAGGGAAAGTAACTGAAACTTATTATTTTTTAAAGATTTATTTATTTATGCATGCAGAGCTGGGGTACAGGCCAGAGGTGCAGGGGTGGTGAGAAGATTCACCAGAGACAGAGTGGGGAGCAGAAGAGGCATATTGACTGAAATACACTGCTGAGGGGAGCAGTGGGAGAGGCAGGAGAACTCTGCTGCACCATGTGGGCCACCTCTGTGGCCTGGGATCATACTCTTGCTGAGGAGCCTGCAGCTAGGTGCATAAACCTGTTGTGCCACTAGGGAGGGTCTGAAACTTACCTTTTTTGTAGTTAAGTCATTTAAATCTTTTCTTAAGGAATATTCTTTATATCCTGAATTTGGTTATTGTGACTGGAGGCCACAGACTTTAAATACCACATTCAAGAGTAAAGCTTTAAGAGAAAAAGTTTTTAAGTTAAAATCAAGAAAATAACAAACTTAGCCATCTATTTACCATCACTCAGAATACCCAAAGTCAGTGACTGTTGGATAGAAGAGTTTAAAGAGTTAGAGATGTGAAAAGTATTGTTCTTTGCTCTTTAATTTTGGCATTAAATCTATACAAAAATAATAACCCTTACAGGTTGACATAATGTGTATTGAATTGTTTTAGTCTCCTAATTGAAATTCGTTATTCAAATACCTTTACTGTACCTGATAGTGAGCATTGCTTTTTGGCAAATTTTAGTAATGTCTATTCAAATTTAGTGATAATTATTTAGTGCTTCCTACATGCCATGCACTGAGCTGAATGTTTTACTAGAACATCTAGTTACTACAAGAACTCAGTTGGCTTTAATTTTCACATTTCTATTTTACAGTTGAGGAAAGTTAGACCCTAAGAGGTGTTTTAAGTTGCATGGCCAGTAAGTAGAAGAGCCAAGATTCCAGTGTGCATTTTTTTCACTTTATCATTCTACTGTTTTTAGTATAACATAACATAAAAGCTCATGAAAATATGTGAAAAGAGCTTTTCTAAAGTATGTTTCTCTTTGTGTTTGATATCAAGAGAATGAAGTTATCTTTCATTTTAAGTACTGTAATCAATGTTATCTTAACACACAGTGAGATTAGTAACAGATGAGTGGAAATAACTTGAATCAGTGTTTAGATTTTTTCAGTTAAACCTCTCTACTTTCTCATAGTATTAGTATTAATAGCTTAATAATGAGAATATAGTACTGTTGGAGGAAAGATTCTACCTTATTAGGGTTTATTTAAATCTAACATGAAAAAATTATACTCATAACTGAGATGCAGGTAGCATTTTACAATATGATAGGAAGTCATGAGCTCTAGTTTGTGTATTTTGAATACCTGTTGACTATTATTTTTCTTTGTCTCACTGTTAATCTAATAAATCTATATAATTACCTATAAGATAAGACATAGTTTCTTGACTTATTTATCAATTTAGTTCAACTAATTTGTCCAAAATAAGAAAATATAGTATGGCCAGAACATATTAAGAGAACTGGATATTTGTTAATCTTGATTTTTATCACTATGTCATTTTTTAAATTTGCCATATTTCATCATTCCTCTGTAAAATAAGGGAGCTAGAGTTGGTTAAGGCGCCATTTGTTCTAGAGTTCTCTGAATCTGTAATTTTTTCTTTTATTAAATTTTAAAATTTTCTTATGTGATGTTCACTTTTGTACAGTATTTGTTTTCTACCCTAAAGTGTAGTCTCCCTAAGTCTCTCATTACCATATCGCCCCTGAACCATTACCATACTTCTTTGTGTTCTTCCTCCTGTTTTGATCTCTTTCCTTCCCCCATGCTTGCTGTATGCCTCAGATCTACAGTTTACCTAAAAAACCTTGCCTTTTTTTTTTTTTTTTGGTCACTTTGTTAGGTTTTCCAGTTGAGTCTGTATTTTTTTTTAAAGATTTATTTATTTGTGCATACAGAACTGGGGTATAGGCCAGAGGTGCAGGGGTGGTGAGAGGATTCACCAGAGATAGAGTGAGGAG